TTTAGAGTATTTTACGTTGTTGAGTGAAACGTTCTCCGATCGATCGGACTATTCAACAGGATCGGTTGTAAAAAAATTTTGGCTACGTTTGGAACATATTATACGTTGTGAATTATTTCGTCGTAATATTGACTAAATCAAAAAAGGATAAGATCATCTCAAGTTGTCGATTGTAGTTGTGATTTTGCAATCACAATGCAAAAACAGTTATTTTAAGGACATAATGTTAATTTGCGGTGCTTGAAAGATGTATATGTGCGAAATTGATTAATTTTCTTCGATATTTTGTAAGATAGTCCAATTTGAGTGCTGGTTGTCTGAATACGGGATACGTCATGATTTGTTGTGTGCCGAAAGGCGCCCCATTTATTTGTCAAAAATATTGTATTTATAGAATCGGCAGTTTTTTGTTCTGTAGCGTACTCGATTGGAAGCAAAAGAAAAGTGTGTCGATCGTTTCTGACGGCCAAAAGATTAATTATTTATTAGTTCGATGTAAAAGTGATGTACAACGCGTGTCACAAGTTTTTTTTGTACCAGCAACGTGTTCGTAATAAATTCTATCCTTATAGATAAATTAATAATAGTTTCGACAATATCATACTGTAAGAATTTCCGCGGGGTGTTCATGATTTCATGATTCGACATAATTCTCACAACGAAAGATCCAATCGACAACGTCCACGTGTCAACGACGTTGGTAGTCCTTATCGTTCGAAGAAGAAAAAAAAAAATGAAGAAAAAGAAGAGAGGAGAGAACTCGCCGCTCGCAGTCCAAATTCATAGGGATTATTTTAGGTAGTAAGATTTCTTGACACGCGATTTTGCAGCTAGTTAATAAATTTTAGAAGCAAGGGATCGATTGTCAATTTTGAACAATGAAAATTATAAAAGTAAGAAAATTCACTACACCAAGAAAAACATATTTAAAAATATTTTTTCTTTCGTCGTATATAATGTTTATTTCACTGAAATATATCTTCATTTAAATACAACGAAATAAAATTCTGTTCTTTAAAAAAAAAATAAATCTATTTTATTTTTTTTTTTACAATTAATGAAATACGTGAGCTGTTTGGTAAAAATAGAGATCATTAATCTCTTTCTTAACTTTTTTTTAAATCAAAAGTTCGACTTGTTTTGCAATATAATCTCCATTATATTAAAGTCACTGACTTATCAAACTGCCCGCGTATTTTACAGAAATATATATTTTGTCATCAGTCAAATTTTTTTACAACCAATAAATGTCGAAGAAAATGTTATGTTTGCTTGCAAATATTTCGATTTTTTTTTCTCAATAGGCGTCAACCAATGGCTGCGCTCAGTAGAGAAAACAGCTTTTGTGCACCCGTTATAAAATTCCTTAATACAATTGATTTTGCTTTTAGTTTCTTATTGAATCTAGACGTATAAATCAATCATATTAAAGAATTTTACAGCAAATGCAAAGCTATTTTCTCAGCTAAACGCAGCCATTGAAATTATATAGGTATATTCTAGTGATTTTGCTTACTTTTGTAAAATTAAAGATATCACAATCGATCCTCAAGCCTTGCTGAGAGGTGAAATGGATTGCCGAGCCGAGATGATCGATTCTGTAATCTTTTATGCGGAGAGACTGCGACTGTAAAATGCGCGAAAACGTGAGCATGGAGTGTGTATGTATGCTCCGAATGCGAATACGCTTGATTTGCCTCGTGTGTATGTGTGTGTGTATCTGTGTGTATGTGTGCGTGTGTATATATACTTTTATGTACGTGCACGATAAACTCTCCGAAAGTTAGGACAAGAAGAATGAAAGGAAGAGAGCGCGCGCGTTGAATGATATTTCGAAATTAATAATTTGTCATCGTAGAGGCAAGACGACGCGACGTGGAAACAAAGCGAGATAAATACGTCTGTCCCGATTCTCCGGCATTTGATTGGGAAACTCTGCGAGAATGTCATCGTTTGCGATACCTCGGCTCTTTTTATCTTTTTTTTTTTAATTCCTGTTTCTTTTTCACGCGCACGTCTCCATAGGCCTATTCTTTTTGGCTGAATTTTTGCACTAGTTCATCTTTCTTCCTCTTTGTTTCTCCTGGAGAGAAAACGAAGAAAGATGAACTGGTGCAAAAGTTCAGCCAAAAGGAACAGGCCTCGTGATTCACAACCCGCGAGATCGGGGAGACGTTTCGGCCGTTTCGCAAAGATTGTGATGTGTGATAGAACCACTTATCTCCGCAGATCTCCGAATTTACGTTTCTGCGTATATTTCCATTTTTATTGTTAATTCAGCAATAGACTCTGTATATACACCGCCTGCGCTGCGTACGAATATTGCGATCGTTGTCCTGGTCGATATCCCTCCTGTAGCCTCCGAATTGTTCAAGGGTTCTCAGAATCCTCGGGACAGGAGCTGATCGATGTGTCATTAGTCTAGTTTCCACCGAAGCATTAATAATTTACACTTAATGCGGTGTAAAACCAAAATTTAAGTCGATAAAAACCTGGAGAAAAAAATGTTTCATATATAATTCTATATGTATGAATATATTATATAGATTTATACATAAAATTGATATATTTTATGTATAATTATATATAAAATATGTCCATATATGTATATAACATTTTTCCCGGGAATGCGTTAGATTGCGCTTATTTCACTCTCGCTTCGATCCACAAGGTCTCTATTTCCAATGGAAACGGCGTACTATATCGAATTAAGGACTTCAGTGGAAACTAGACCATTGATCGATGAGTTCTGGCGTGACTGAAAAAAAATTACCATCATTCTCCGCATTGTACATACTACCATCGCTCAGCCCATTCGGAAATGAGTTTCCTTGATATAAACTGCCAGACTGTTCGTGAAATTCGTTTTCGTACGAGAATACAAGTCAATCATTCATTGATATTTCAGTCGGAGCAAAAATATTTGCCGTAGAATTCTTCCTCGCAATGATGTACAAAGCACGTACGGCGTTTTTACGAGTCGCGATTCTATTATCAATTCAGCAGGACGTTGCGACAAAAGAAGGTCGGAGGAAACTGAGAGGGATTCGGCCATTGCATTTTTATGTTTGTAGTATGTATGGATATGTATACAGAATGCTCCGAAGTTATCGTCGTTCGACCGATTTGTGGGATTCTCTCGTACAATTTAGGGAAACGCTGTTTCTAAAGTTTTGTATGTGGAAGTTGCGATCTTTCTCGCGATTTTCCGCAGAGATCCAATTTTGTTTGCGTTTTATAAAGTAAAAATAATTTTCACTACAACGTTTAATTTATTTGTCGTTACTTTTACTCGAGAAGGTCACAATTTCGCTTCTAAATTGGTAAAGAGAATCCGTTAGATGCAAGCGGAACGGCGACGATTTCGGGGGACGCACCCGTACATGCATATAAATAGTTTTACTTAAGATTATTTTAACGAGCTACAATTCTGTCTTATCTTTTCTTTCTCGAGCTGTCGTCGTCGACAGTTTATACGCGCCGCTCGTCGTTGCCGCGCCAGGATCGCGGAATTCGCGATTTTTATCACACGGCACGACGACACTCGTCTGGGGAATCGTGCTCTCCGTGTTCATTACTCAGCTTGTGTAAAGAGACTGATCCATAAACTTCTTCACTTTTTCATTTTCATACTTCATCTATTTCATCGTCATCGAACTCGAGTGACGCGCATGCGGAGACCCACGTACAAAAGGGAAGTTTTAAAAGCGAGAAGAAAGGAACGAGAGGTAGATCATCGGGATTGATGGCGATCGATGATCATCGCTGTTGTAAAGAGAGAATAATAAATGATACGTGTAGACTTAACAACGGTACGTTTCGCCTTTTGTCACCTAAACATATCTCCTTGAATATTATCGAAGCAAATTCCCCAAGATACGCGTGTTACAAGCGTTATGAATTATGTTTCTGAAATGCGACAATGAAGTAAATGGTAAGCGTTCAATTGTTATTCATAACGTAAACAAGGGACGGCGAAATTTAATCAATTTGATAAATTACATTTATTTAGATGAAGGTTGACTGCGTCCAAGAGAGATACACGTTTACCATCATATTCGTTATTCTCATTAAGATTTATTGTATTCAGAATTAATTATTCATGAATAGATGTGATCAAGAGTGAATTCTCTAACGTAGAAATTATTAGTTCCATGCGTCATATGTATGACGCTCTCTTGAACATAGTAAAACAAACTTAAAATTCGTATCGTACTACTTGTATGACGGCAGCATAATTTTTGCATAATGCATAGTGCATAAGGGAATCAACCAATTAAAGTTCCACTTTTTCATGAAATGGAAGGAAAGGAAGGATTCTGATTGGTTCATTCTTTTCGGCCTTTATCATGAGAAATTATGGCGAAACTAATCTGTAACTATACATGACATTGAGTCAAGACTATGTGGTATGAAAGATGATAAAAATTAAAGGTCGGAAAAAGCTTGATTTAATAAAACATTTTTTTTAAATCTCATCTCTCTCTCAATTGTGTTTATTAAGTATAATAATAATCGCACACAGAAAATAATACTTTTAATTAAGGAAAAAATTGAACTAGAAAAAATTTAATCAGCAAAATGGATAATTAAATCTTAATTTGCAATTTAATATTTTAAGTATGATACATACGTAATTAATTTTACTATGATTTTACAGTACATGATTCCTGTCATGTATTGTTCTTTATCTTTTATATGGAAATAAAAGTAATAAAATAATTAATATATAATCAAACCGATTACTGGCATGTTACTTATTATTAAAATACTATTTTATTTGTGCAACATATGAAATCGTAAACAATGCAGTATCATTTTATTGTGCATTAGAGATGTACGACGCAAACATATTAAAAAATGTGATAATAAAGTTTACAGTTTTCTAATGCATTTGGTTAGTATCAACTCGAAAAATATTTGTATATGTAAAAAAGAAATTCATTAATTTATTTTACATTGTAACAAAATATAATATCTTACGCGTAATATTATAGTTTACAATAGTGAGCACAAATAATATCATTTTGTTGCATGTATAGATACACTGTACAAACTGATAGAAAACTTTACAAAATGGCTAAATGTATCTATTAAGATGCAACAGATTTAACCCGTCCAACTCTAGATTAATAAATAATTCTATGTATATATTTATCTATCGACCTCTTCATTATGAAGAGAAAAAAAGAACTCTCCCTTTTGACTGAGCGCATCGCAAGGTAATAGAATGAAGTTTAAACAGCCTACGTAGATTGTCAATTTAAAATTTACAATCCGAAATATCTTTTATAGATAATAATACATATTAACAGTTTGGTGTTACTATTTTATAACTAATTTACTCTAAGCTAACCTAGAATAAATTTTTCTCCTCGAATTATATCCGGATTATTTGATTTTGTTCGATATCACCATTAAATATACATAATTATCGTTTATGTCAGGGTGTCATCACCGATGCTAAGGAAGAGAATATCTCTGCTTGCAGCGGTCCGTAATCAACTTCCTCACCGTCTACGGTTATATGTCCACTCATTCCTTCCATAGGTTCTATTCGAAATGCCTTCACAGGTATCATGTCAACGCCAGGGCAAGTCACATGAGTTCCACTACTCAGACCTAATAAAAACTAATAAGCAAATACGATAAGTATCACTGTATAACCGTACTGTTTTTTTTCTTCCTGCTTTATAATATAGCTTACTTGAACTAAATTGGCCCGTGATATACCGGCTTTAGCTATTAAAAGCCAAATAATTCCATCAGCTAATGCAGCACGTGGCGCAAAAAAATAATCCTGTCCCAAATGTGTTTGATATGCTGCATGTACCATTATGAATTCTCCTGAAATTGTAAACATACAATATTCTACATATATACACATACACACCATAAAATTAATTTTTAGTTCTTATACATTGTGAAAAATGGCATAAAAATTCTATGAATTTATTTTTCGAATGTAAGTATTGCAATTGAAATGTATTATATTATATTATATATATTTTTTCAATTATGCTCCATTATATTCGGCATTTTATTAAGTGGTACGTGACGTTACTTCGAATTCAACTGGAGTTAAAGGGTTAATAAGTGATGCATTACGCGGCAACCTTTGGCACCATATTATATGACAACAAATACATGTGTCTTTGAACTCGTCTCTCACAAATCTTATAAATTATAAATATTAAAATTAAAGCGTTTATTTCTCTCGTATATAACTTCTAAATACTTCGGTAAGAACTTTAGTTAAATATATATATTTAAAAGAAAAGCAAACAAAAAAAAGAAATTTGTTTAAAATTTTCAAAAAATTTAAATTATCGGTGCAAGACTTCCGTTATTTAAGCAATTACCTTGAATCGTTGTCCAGCAATTTGAGAGCTGCGATGTTAGCGCCGGAAGTGTAGATGATGGCCCATACATAACTTGATTGTTACAGATGTTTTCTGCATCTTAACGATATATTTATTAATATACTGACGTTATAAAATCAATAAAAGTACATTTTGATTTTAATACATACCAATCTCTGTGCTATTATCATCTTCTATACTGTGATAACTTGAGGCGGAACCTGTGCTGAAATAAGTCGACTTCGCTGAGGTTGCGGAGTAGAAGCTGTCAAGTCTGTGTCTCCTCTCGTTTTCCGTCTCGAGAGCTAGGTTCTCAGTTATCACGTCGTTATCATCGTAACCGTTCAAATCGTTGGATGATTCGCCGAAAGTATTGTAAAAATCTTTCGATTCTGATTCAGGCTTGGCGCAACACCTATATACATTTTTATTTTTCGTAAACAAACTCAGTAAACAGCGAAAAAAAAAACGACATAGTTAAATAATATATCATTTTTCTTATTGCGTTGAATATATTTGTGTAAAGTTATCGAAAATATTCTCAGAGCCAAACAAGTTGTTAAACTCGGTGAATATGCAGTGTGCATATATACTTCAATTTTAATACACACACATACACACAACATACTCACAGCGACATTATTTTTCGAGCAGATTCAGTTTCTCTGTATCTTCAAATATATAAAATAGCTTCAAGAAAATTCGATGATAAAACTTTTGTACATATACTCTGAAATCATCTTTGATACCTGGCGCGTGGTACGTTGACAGACAATCACGCTGACTTAATACGTGCCTTAATACGTACAGTTATTCTGTCATTACATTCTATTAAAAAATCCGTTATTATCATCACGCAGAATTATTACCTGTCCAATTCGTCGCCGTAGCTTCTCGAATGCGACAATATATTCTCCGCGACATAGTCCTTGTGATATACATTGCCGTTTTCCATATTTTCTGTCGGAAGAACCTTGTTGCAAGGTAAATACGACACTTTGCCTTTATATGTTCTCAATCCTATTAGACGCGCTACGCTCCATACGGTAAATCTTTGGCCCCCGATGGCGCGAAGTCGTTCACTTTCGATGTCAATATCAGCCAGTAAACCCCAGCCCACCGACAGAAACGAGAAAAGAATTTGATTTCTAGTTTCGACGCGTACGATATCCATCGACGTCTTTTTACATTTGACCGCCGATAGTGCGCTGATAAGCAAAGGATTGCGATCGTACGGTTCTCTGAAACATTATTTTATTCTTAGATCACACGTTTTTAGCAATAACTTTATCAAAATATCAACAGACAGAAAGAGAAGTACAGAACGCAACCAAATCTCTGCCTTACGGCAATTAACAGAGGAAGGTTCAAAGTTTTTTTATCTTACTTTTTATCTACAATTTAGAACTTTATAGTACTAAATACAGATTGTACAAGTGTCTAAAATTTTTGCTTCGAGTTGTGCCAAATGATCCGCCGTAGTCAAAGATTAAATAAACGAGACATTTTTTTTAATTATAAAACGCATAATCTTAATATATCAGGAGACGCGGTAGTGTTAAAAAAAAAAGTGAAAGAACATAAAGATATGTATATATGCTAAGCGACATGAGTTGAAATAACACTACCTTGATTAAATTTACACTTTTGGCGATTATTGCCTGAATGAAGAATGAATGCCTGAATGGGAATTTAGCATTTCCCATTATAATTCTTCATTTAAATATATTGAATTCCGGCTCAGAATAAATACATAAAAATGGCTAAATTAATTAAAAAAAATTTTTTTCTCGCAGGCTAATATCATTCCATTTTTCTCAATGCTATTTTTTCGAAAACTTTACCGATACGTATTTATACGGATTACGAAACGAAACCGTAATATAAATAATTTATCACATATCGACAAGGTTAATTTTATTGAAATGCAATTTTGTGATAAAAAAATAATGATAATTAGGCTATATTAAGAGGTGAGCTTACTTCTTAGCGTGAGCAATGGACTTTGCCAAACCATTGCCGGAGCCACACGGTATTACCCCAAGCGGCAATTCGCGCAGAGCTTTCTCCCAATCGGGCCTTTGGAAGATTCCGTTCACTACCTCGAAAACGATTCCATCGCCACCGACCATCAACAGACCGCTCCACTGATAAATATCCCTTGTGCGCACGAACTCACGAGCGTAATTAGAACACTTGGTAACGTGAATCTCGTAAGATCTTTCCGCTTCCGACAAGATCGGATGAATCCTCTTCTGGAAGGTATCTCTGCCTCTGCCAGGTCCTGATTTCGGGTTTACCAACACCAGAAGTTTCCGATTCTCACCCGGACACGCTGAAACATTAACGAGAGCGAATGCAAGAGAGACAGTTACATTGTCTCAGAATCTCTTATTATTGTAATTTCGTTGTTATTTGAAAACTGTGATTTCATGTTTTTGGCACTATCGAAAAATCATTCTCGGATAAATAATTTCAATAAGATATGCGAGACGTGTGCATACTACGCTTTTTAAAATAATGCAATTCCAAGTCTTCTTCAGACGAGATACTTTCGAAAAGTAAAATTTCTAATCTCAACGAATTCCTTAGCGCATCCGCTGATCCTTATCGTTTATTATTTCCGGAGAAAACATAAACTCTTATCACAAAAGCATCAAGCATTCAGTATTCAGGATGCATCACGTTGCTCTTTATTACTTTGAAGAAGTTCCGCTTTTCTCACGAAAAAGCGGAGAGTCGGCCCAGGCAAAGAAATTTTCAGTATGTGAAATAGCTGTATCTCTCATTCGCATCGACACGCAAACATTTAAGTTTAGCAATTTAAAAATCTATTAATTATACAATTCGATATTTTTTTGAAGCCTGAATAAACGAAGTATTTTTCAATTTCAATGGACTTTTGGTGACTGAAATTGAGATTAAATGTGCTAAAATTATCGTTTTTGGTCAAATTTACCATTTATTTATGACCAAAATATTTTCTTTCAATTTCATTTGCATTACTTTAAAGTGTATCTTTTATGTATAATATGAATTTCTTACAATACGATTTTTTTCATATGCATAATTAGCACATTATAAATCATCAAATTGAATTAATTATATATATATATATAGAGATAATTACCTATTCAATTTAATGATTTAAACCTGATGGGATAAATCTCGTAATAGATCAATTTCGCTACTGAAAAATTTTATTTTCAACAAACAAGTCCATCGAAAAACATTCTATTCAAGTTCTACTTCGATATATTCACAATCGCGTTAAGGAATTAATATTTGTAACACATTTTTGTCACTTATCGAGACTCATGTATTCGCTTTGTAGACATGTATTCACTTTGATAACTGACTTGACACCAAATAAGTAATAGCTTAATCATGATTGCATAATAGGTAGCAGTTACATCTTCCATGTGCAACTACGACGTATAAAAAAATGTAAATATTTATCTTTTCTGATAAAATACGTAAAGCATCACGTGTACAAAAAAATCAACGCCATATAAATTTTATCATGCATATATTTAACAATATGTTTAAATAAATAATGTTACGTAAGTTATAAAAAAAGTAAGTAATAAAAATAAATGCACCCTGCAATCTTAATCCAACTGCTAATTCATTATTAAAATTCAATAATTTGATAGAAAATATATAGGTTTTACACGATAAGAAAAATCTGTATAAGTGTACTATAATTACCGAAGTAACAAATAATAGACAACAGTTTGTTCTTTTAATTAGATATTCATCGCATAAATACATCCATTTTCATCTTTAACAAAGACTATAAAAAATATCCTATTATTCTATCATATTATTTCACAATTACGATTTGCAATCGTCAGAGATTAATCACGTGAGATTAATCTCTGACAAATTCAATCGCTGTATATTTTCAATTTCATATATTATAAAGGAAGTACGATCAATATACAGTACACATATATTAATATTTATATTTTAAACAAATGATATACATATGAAAGTTGTACTTATAACATTCTATTTTTATTCGACAACACATTTTTATAATTTATTTAGACTGGATTGTTCCATCTTTCAATAAACTTTAGCTCACTTTCTTACTCTTTCATACTCTTAATCTTTTACTCTTTTGTTTATCCATTAGATAAATTATCTATCATCTGCGTATCATCTACGAAATTTGTTGAAGAAAAGATTAGCCGAAACAAGTATTATGATATAATATAGATAGAATATTTTAAAAAGAAACAAAAATTACGCACCGTCTACAGCGCTAATTTCCAATTGTCTGTTATTCGTTTTACTTTTGTGAATTTATTATCTTGGGAATTTAGTTCGAATTTATTTACCACTTAAATTATCACATAGTTTATCCGAAGATGGAACAACTGGTCCTTAGTCTATCATTGTTAAATCTATATATATATATTTGATACTATATATATATATATGTATATATATATAGTATCAAATTTAACCTAATTTAAATCGCCACTCCTGCTACTCAATATACATGCGTAGCGTCAAATTGACTATATAGTGTCAAATTTAACCATGTTTGATATAAAATAACAATTATATTGAGTTGAAGCAGTGGAGACTTAAATTAAATTAAATTTGACAAAACAGATTTGACAGTGTGTGTACATTATTATTTTTATTGTTATAAACTAAAATTTTAAAAAATAACAAATATTTTTGTATGAGTACTTTAAGTATTCAAAATAATTTATGCAAAATTTTTTTGCGATTCACCGATTAATTATACAAAGATTTAAAACAAATAAATATTTTGTTTATTTACAGGACAATTAATTTCTATATCGCAATGTAACTTTTTAAGAATCTCTTAAATACTTAAAGTACTTATATTAAAACATTAAGATTCTTGTCATTATTTTACATTTCTATACATTTTAATTGGAGCAGATAAAAAAATACTATTTGTTGAAATAATTTTTTATCCGATGATAAATCGTCATTAAATTTATTATATTACTTTTAAATGTCGAATAACCTGTAATTTTTTCATAATTTTTTTATTGTTTGAAAATATTAGTCATACCTCCTCTCGTACCTCCTTATTAATATTAAAAATCGAAAATTCTTTATATAATAATACATAAATTATAGAAAAATTTTTATTACTTTAGAAAAAGTTAACTCTACCTTTATATTAATCATTTATTTACTTGCGATAACAGATAATTAGATAAATGCAATCTAATATTAAGTAGCCTGTAACGTTCAATGTCACAGAGTGTTATTGTTCAGCGTCAGTAATAATAAGATAAATGACATATATGATATTTTTTTCAATACTATCGAGACAAGAAAAATATAATTGAGATCGGTGCTAAAAACACTATGACAATTCTATCAATGACAACAATAAAAAAACGGATCAAAGGATGTTTGTGCAGTTACTTGGAAAATGTTAAACCAAGTGTGTTTTATTAATAGAGTCGCATAAGACTCTTCTTTGAGTAATTATATGAATATATTACACATTGACAATTATGCCAACAGCTCTATAATTTACAATTTATCGATAAAATTAAACAATATTCCAAATCAACTGAATAGGATGAAAGGAATTTTAGATGGGCAAGTTATCTGCGCAATGGAAAATTTATACTTGCTAATCTTGTTTCGCATCTTTCCTCGTGAGCGCATCAACTGACAATATAGCATATCTAATTCGCAACTGTATAAAAAGGAATTATGAAAAAAGGATACGGCGTGCGTTGATCTAGCCGAGGGTTTCTATTTTTAGATCGAAGTTACTTAAGGCATCGCGAAAAAATTCAAGGAGACAAGAAACTCATGGAAATCTTGTCGCTTTCTGGAATATGTGTGTACACGTATAGAGAAACGCATCAACTCTCGGCTTTCTCGTAAAACTCTCCCAACGATAGTCCGCTCAGAAAGGTGCTTATTGTTTTTCAATTCTATATCAGCGTTTACCACAAATAATGTGTTACGTAACCACAAGCATAACGTAATTTGCATCGCGGCGGCTTGTTACGAGCACGCAATCCTTTCCCAACATTTCCGCGTTCGAAGGAGTAACGAGCGCGTATATAATGAAATAGATAAATAGGCCAATACTTTCGATACTGTCGACGTCAGTGAATGTTTAATTAAGGATATGACGCAATTATGAACAGCAATTGGAATATGATATAAAAAGAAGTACAAACTTATAACACTATTAAGCTTGTATACATATATGACAATTTTGCGACCTTCAGGAGTTATCAAAAATAAGATAAAGTATAGAGATTATCGCTAAAGAATAAGATATGACGAATTTGTGTTATATCTTAGTTTGTGTGACATAAATTTATTTATTAATCAACATAAACGTTAAAAAAAAATAATTTTCTGTATGACCTGCGCGTCTAAGACCCGCTTTGATTTTCTGTATGACCTGCGCGTCTAAGGCTCGCTTTGATTTTAAGCGAAACTTAAAGAATTCTCTTCCTTTTTTTAAAAGTCGATAGACAGACAGAAAGGGGTATTTTAAAAATTAGTTTTATAATATTAATTTTTGTCGATTATTTATCATTATGGCATAAATTCATGCGTATATTGAGTTATTAACCGCATTCTCTTAAAAGTATTTGTACTCTTTTTGAGGTAAAACTTCAAAAGTCATTAATTAAAATTTTATATTTATAAAATTATGTTAATAAGAATTGTCAATAAAAATTATGTTTTAAAATTTTCATTTTATTATATATTTACATTCAAAACGCATAAAATATTATATTCTCTCCTTCCGTCTCCGAATCATAAATTTTTTTTTTAAATTGTACACATGTACTACTTTTTTGTAATTCAGATATGATAGCCGTAATCATATATCAAGTGGCAATCAATGGGCGCATTCAGCGGACTCGACAGTTAGCGCTCGCTGCTATTGTGTATTCTTTTGGATCATCCGATCAGAATGTCAGATTTAGAAGAATACATCAATAGCAGCGAGCGTTTTCAACTGTTGAATCTGCTGAACGCAGCCAATGTCTCCGATATAAATATGTACTTGATGGATGATTTTCGCATATTACTTTCTTCAAATAGACAAGATCGTTAGATTTATAACATTAGTACTCGATGCTCGAATGCTACCTGATAGACAAAGATACTGGACTTCGCTGTTATCATTTCAAGTGCACTGAAAAAAAATATAGTCAATTTTAATAAATATTTAGTTGAATACTGCCAACTAAATATTTATTAAATATAAAGATATATTTATTTGATACAAGAAATGTTAATTTGAATTAACAATCTTTTTTTTATTGAACAAATATTTATTTACTGTAAGTAAAT